AACTCTCGATATAATGAATTTTTTAAAAATTTTTATTAATGGAACGGATCACTTCACTATAACGAGAGTGACTTGTATATAGTGCCTGCGCCATGATTACGTCACTGGCACTTTGGGGGCCGCCCTGGCTAAATCTAGAGTGTATGTATTGTAAGTTGAATTTATATATAAAACCCCCGTTTTGGGGTTGAGTTTATAATATGTACACCCTAACCCTAATTTAACTAAATTCTTCCCACTTACGTACAACATGTGTACATATAATTGATTAATAATTACACCGATATTTACGTATGTACGTACGTACTAACTTGATTAATCAGATTCTTACGGGTCGGTGCCAAAAATATTAGTAAAGTTACGTTTTTGTCTATTACTCGAATACTAGTGCTTCAAATAAAACGAATTTAATATCATTCGATTCGTCTCAGTAAGAGGAATCGAATGATACCAAAATTGCCTGATTCTGATCAATGTATCGCGAGAAATCGTCAAAAAACATGAGTGCGTCACAATGTCATAACGATAATACCCGACTCCCTTAAGCATGGCGCCGCTTCGAAAATTGCGATCCTTTGATAAGTAAGGACACAGATTAGTTTGATAATTGTAAAACCATTCGGGTAATTTAGGGAGATTTAGGGAGTTTTTGACAGAGATTCCTAATTTATGAAACAAATGTGATGGATTCTTATGGTCGTGCTACGTTACATTTGTTACATTCAAGTTGCATTCAATCGGAATTTTATCACATTTAATTGGATTTATCTTAGTCAATCGTAAAATTTTCACAGAATGACGAAATAAGCTTCTCGAAAGGCAGATAATTAACTTTTTAAGGCAGTCTTTTTCTATCGAATGATGCAGTATTTCTCTTTCTTTATCTGTTATCCGTAGTTTAATCTATTTAAAAGTTTTTGAAATTCACATCGTTATTGGGTATAAATCACGTGCCACAGGCTTTGCATCGGAGTAGTGTTTCGTAATTTTCTACATTTCTTTATAATTTCCCCAAAAAAGAGTAACATGCTATATATAGTATTGATCACTGAAATTTCACAAAATGATGAAACAATTGCGCTATGTCAGTACGACCTTAATTATTTGTTTGTCATATACTAGTCGAAAACTTGGTTTATTGATCACTCTCTTTTTCCCAGATACGTATAATTATATTTGATGCAGACAGATTTTTAAATGACATTGATATATAAGATAAATTCCAAAAATCTGTAACTTTAACTTTACAAGCACCATGGATGCAACCCTACCTAATCTTAGTTCTATATTTTTTGCTTCTGCTCAAGTACGTTTTTTTTTGATCTTGATATTTAAAATACGTATTATAATAATAATTCGATTATTTATTATTCTAGTCGTGCTCACAAGTCCTTCTGGTGTGCCTTGCCGGGTATCTAGCCGCAAGGCTTCAATTAATAACAACAAACATTCAGAAGGTTTGCTAAATAATTTTTTTTTTAGTGCTTTTATTTTTCTACTTGCCATTAATAAATTTATTTTTTCATTTCTTAGAACCTTTCTACTTTAATCATAAATCTTTTTATGCCATGTTTCTTATTTTCAAATGTCGCCTCTAGTATTAATATCGAAACATTAATAAATCTTTGGCCAATACCTACCTTTTTTTTCATCTTTGTATTAATTGGTTCAGGTCTTGGTTTAGTTGGAGGGAAATTATTAAAATTATCTGATTTTTCAAATACAAAGTTTGTTATAACTGGAATTATTTTTAACAATGTGACAAGTCTTTCTCTGGGTTTGTTAAGAGGTATCGAAAATACAGATGCTATCTTGATTTTGAGATGGAATATCGATGACACTCCAAGTATTATTGTCAAACGAGGAATTTCGTATGTGTTACTTGCTACACTTTGGACTAATTTGTTAAGGTTGGTAATTTATATTTTTTTTCAGATATTACGTATATTTAGTTAATGTATTTGATATTAACGTTCTTTTAATTATTTTATTAGATGGTCTCTTGGTGCATATTTACTGAGAAAAAATACCGATCCATTAATTGTGCAGCATAATTTTGATGAAATTGCCGAAAGAGTACCACCTAAACAACATGATCCCGATGAGACGACACCACTTTTTGCATTCAATAAAAGATATCACCCATCCGTTGAAAGTTTGCATCCGATTTGGTCGCGCGTAAAGAAATTTTTTAAACTCAAGTTCATGAATCCACCATTATATGCTGCATTATTGGCGCTAGTGTTTGTCGCCATTCCTCAATTAAAATCTATTTTTTTCGGCAAAAATGCTCCTCTCATGGCACTTTCACAAGCAGTAGAATACCTTGGCTCAATCTCCGTTCCTTTAACTCTATTAACTCTTGGAGCACAATTAAAAAATCTCGAGAGTTCAAAGAACAAGCATATCGCGAATATGATTGCTTATGTTCTGACATGTCGACTTTTAATAATGCCAGTTATAGGTATTGTGCTGGTCTTGCTTACCAGAAATTGGTATTTAGGTGATCCAATGTTATGGTTTATCCTAATTTTATCGGCCAGTGGGCCAACTGCCGTAAATTGCATGAATTTGGCACAACTTACCAATAATTATCAAGAAGAAATGTCAGCTTTGTTATTTTATGGCTATGTAGCTGCGATTCCGCTGTTTACTGCTCTGATTATGATTATTTTAAGTTGTTTCAAAGATATCTTGTATTTTAATTGATCTTTGTAAATAATTTTATAATTTATTGTAACAATGAGTGCATATACAAATTTATCGTGACATGAAATATCTTTCTGGGAATGTACATTTGTAAAAAGTTATTATTATATATACATATATATAGATATTAGAAGTTAGAATATGACGTTATGTGCATTTATAGGGGGGTTTATATGAAGGGATTGCGATTTTTGGCATCAATGTTAACTAAAATAATAAATAATTCAAGAATTTACTTGATGCTGAAAGTGATTATTATTATACTTAGTGATGGTACCTCTCGAATCATTAATAAAAATTTTAATACGTAGGGTCTCTGCACTAGAAAAGGCTTAAATGCTATATATATTATATATAGCATTTAGGCCCTTTCTACTGCAAAGTCCCTAAATTATTAAAAATTGGCCGAGTTATTAACTAAAACTACTTTGTAATGTTTAAAAGGTGTATTCATTTAATTTATATATTTATTGACGAATATAAAATATTTAATCATTTCTTCATTATTTATAAAATATATATCTTCCTCTATTTCATTAATGTTTCAGAAATTCGGGATTTTTTTAATTCATTGACCTTCCGCATACAATTATATTAATCGTATTTGAGTGATCGTATTTCGAAAATTTAAATATGACATATTTAAATTTTCGGATTTTCTTTTAGCTTAATGTGCAGTTTTTAATATGATTACGTAGGAATTATTAATAATGAATGAATGAAACTATTAATCATTACTATATAACTATTAATAACCAATTAAATTTTTTTTAGTAACTAAAAGCTCGGCCCCATCGATCGCTAATTATACCAGAGATGGTAAATGATTTTCAAATGATCTCAAATGACCTCAATTTATTCCGAAATGACCTAGTCATTTGAAAAAAAGGCAAATGACAGTACAGAATCACATGTTGCGTCATCGTTACTCTACATAATCTTAGATAACTGTTACAATAGCAGCACGAGTGTGTGTGTGTAAATAAGTAATTGAACTACAAATCTAATCTCAAAATAGTTATATCAAATATGCTATTCTACAATTGAATACTATCAATTTTGGTAATATTCTTTTATATATATGTTGTAAGTGGAAGCGGAATTAAGTGGAAACGGAATTTTTATATAAACTCAGCATTTTGGGGTTGATTTTATCATATATACACCCTTACCCTAACCTTAATTTAACTTGGAAATTCCGAATCCACTTAATCCCATTCCCACTTACAACATATATAAAGAAATGAAGAATAAAAAAAAAACTATATTAAACTAAACTAAAAAAACAAGTATTATAGTTTAAAAAAAATAATTAGTAAAAAAATTATAAAGTTTTATATTAGTTTTTATATATATCAATATTAAAAATAACTAATATTTACTGCATGCAATTATTATATATCTGTAATTTACAATATATAAACAAAAATAAATAAATTTTATTATTAAAACAAAATTCAAAATTTTAACATTAAAAATAAGGATTAAAGATTAAAATAGAGTATAATATATAATAAAATTTAGTAAAAAATTTTTTTGTTAAAGCTTTAAAGATAGTTTTATAAATAAAATTTAAGATATAAGCATTTTTTTAAAAAAAAACATTTATTTTAATTATATAAAATTAATTTATATATCATATTTGGTTTTAAATACTGTATTTAAAAAGATTATATATAAATTTTAAATTGTTGTATATTTGATTACTTGAACTAAATAAGAACGCAAATCACTAACTCTTTCTAACGATCACTTGTACCAAATTCTCTCTAAAAACAATTGCACTTTACTCTTTATTTTAT